CCTTTTCCTTGTTTTAATTGCCACACCCTATTACCAAATCTTGCATGTACACTACTCTATTCTTTCACCAGAATTCAGTTACTCCAAGGTGCTTTCAGCTTTGGGCTCTTCTGCACAACGCTTTGCCATTTTACTCATATGCCATAATCTCAAAAAATATGCCAGGCATCAGCTAACACATGAAGGGTGACTGAGTGAGTATTCATGCAAATTTAACTGTAACTTCTTTATAGGCCAAGACAGTAACGTCTGCCTTTTGCACTGCTCACTTGCACCTAATCTGTTGTCTACTACTACCTGCATCTGCTAGTCTGTTCCTGTAATACTCTTTTCTGTACTCTAATTTCAGTATTTCATACAACTCCTTTCTATTCATTCCTTCAAATGACTATTATACTACTTATTTCATACAAAACCTACCTTTACACATCTACTTAGCTGGCTAAGTTAACCAACTTGCCTATTCAATGAAAACGCCTCTAAACTGTGCGTGAAATCACTTGAGTTCATTCCTTCTCAGATTCACCTCCAGAAAAGCCTGGTGCTTCCTTGTAACCACCCTGTTCAAAGACCAGTCTGATAATCTATCTTGCTAAATTACAAGTCGGCTGGTGTTAGTGCCTTTTGCCTTTATATGTATAGCAAACATCGGCATATATTTGCCTAATTTGTTGACAAAGGGGGTTTTTTTGACCAAAACGTTTTGCAGACTCTTATTTACCACAGACATTTCAATCACCGATGCTGGAAGAAAAGGCAAGAGCAAGTTTGGAGAGGGGGGAACACCCTCCCTCTCCAACTCAGCAGTCTGAAAATAAAGGTAACTCAGCTGCAAGACCACATCTGACACAGGTTCACAGTAATCCACAACTTGAATATTTATTTGGGTGTAAAGGATCTCAGTGGGGTAAATTCTGTTGTTTACAGCATAGGTCCACACTTGGACTTTGGGGCAAAAGGGATGGGTCTAGACTGTGGCATCAACAAAAATAAAAGGCATGCAAAGAATAAGAGCAGCCCAAATTAAGCCAGTTTTGTTGACAGATAAATCCTCAACTCACGTTCAGGCTAACCTGCAGAAATGTTTAAGCATGTCAATATGATCAATTAAGACAATTCAGTCTCTGTATCAAATCCTAGAAAACTCTGAGTCCTAAACAGAATTTTAAAAGTTATATCAGGCATTGGAAGGTGGTCACTAATGTCATATAGGTTGCTAGTCTTCTCCAGAAGTCTCTGCTAGACATGCATAAGTTCAATTTAAAGATCAGCAAAACTGGCTACAAAGTAAGCATATTCTGAGTATGGTTTGACTGAAGCAGATCTTTGCACTTAGAACTGGCATATGGACATAGTAAGCATACACGTAAGAGCTACAAGCTGTCTTGTGGTCCAAAGACTTCATGCGTTGTTGTAGGTTCATGATTAACATAAATGCTTGCTAAGTCTTGGAGATGTGTGTTGGCCAACAGACAGATGAACCAAGAAAATGAAATTATGGAGCCATTTTCCTTCAAGGGGAGAAGTTTATACTATGAGGGACAACTTTTAAAGAGAGTACTCCCAAAGACAGTGAAGCAGGGAGGAAAAAAACTTCAGGAGATTTCAGATTTTTTAACTAATTAGCTTGCACTAATTAGCTCATGGTAAAGGATGGTAAACATCTCAGATAAACCAAAACATGAATTGTTCATTAGAATATCTTTGTTTCAGCTGGTATTTCCATCTGGAGTCTAGGCTCCTATTGCTAACAGCAACAAGACATCTGCTGGCGCTTCCCACCAGGTCCTTTCTTTTCCAGAAAGAAGCATCCAAGTGTTACTTCCTTCCTCTATTTGTTACTAAAGCGTTTTATATCTGCCTCTACCTGCACTCTCTGGTCAGACACTATGGAGATCAGCAAACGTAATGAAAAATCTGTAGTATGGCTGAAGCAGTTGCCGTTCTTGAATATTACCATCATCTTTTTCAGTTCTCCCACTCCCTGGATTTCTAACAGTAGGTAAAGCCTAGGAAAGCTGGTATTTTTTAAAAGTACAATTTTGCCACGGAATTCAGGTCTATTAATAAAGTATACATTTTGTCCACTCTGAACTCCAAGAGTAAAAACCAAAAGGAAACCATAAAGGCAGATCTCACTTCCGACGCTTAGAATGAGGGCAAGGCAGATGAATGAGATGTTTCCAAGGCAGATGAATTGTCCCACCTACATTTGTGCCACTCTGATAGGATCTATTTTAAACCAAAGAAACTTAAGCAGGCTTTTCCAAAAATACTTTTCAGTGCATAAAAACCTATTTTTAGGTGCTGTCCTTTTTTCGCTGAGCATACACACTCTCTCAGAGGCATCTTTCCACCTGTATACCAAAATACGTTTTTTAATTTCTGGAACTAATACACAGAATAAGAAAATTTCAGTTAAGCCTTAAAAATATTAATCACAATAAATATGAAAACCCTTGTTCAATGTGAGCAGCAGAGAATAATTTCTGACTTCATCATTAAATGCAAAAAAAAATAATGCTTGATGCAAAGAATAATTAAATAGAAAAACAGCATAATTAAGGTGTTTTGCATACAAATTACCCACATGGTGCTCACTGTGTATTACAACGCAAGTATTTTGGACCATAAGAATGTTAGCTCAAACTACTGATTAATAAAAATGAAAAAGAAAAATACTTTGGTGTATAACATGGCCCAGTCAAAACTGATTTTTTGATGTTATTGTCCATGTTTCTTGAATTTACTATTTCTGCCCTGACATGGTTTAGCCAGGATTAATTTCCTTCCATGTGTCCTTACACACAGACACATTGCCTTATTTGAAAGGGAGAAAAATTGTCTGAGTTTAGTAATTTTAGTAGTTAAGTGGCCACAACTGGGCTTTGAAGTTTGCAGGAGATTGAAGGAGGAGTAAATCTGTACCTTCTCCGCTCCCCACCAGGCACTACTGGGACAGAACCAGTTGTTTCACGCTGTGTTAAATCAATAGCTAATATGATAAAATACTAGTCCAATGTTCAGACATGGCCTTTTCTAGTTTTATCACAAGCTGATGATTAGCAGTTCTTGCTTTACACTACCTGAGATGAAAGTCAGTAGCTAATCCACTACCTATAATTTATCTAACTAAAGTCCTCCTCCTTTGTATACTGCCTCTGTGTTTGAGTGAAAATTCAGTGAAATTCAGTGAAAATATTTATAAACAATATTCATTGCTTAGACTGCATAAAATGTATGAAAACCTATTATTATTGTTGCTGTTGTTGTAACTATTATTATGTACATATTGGTATCAAAAATATGCACCCCAGCCCCTCCCCTACTTGGCTTATTTCTTCAGAACTGAAGTCTTGAGCCTTGTAACACAATGTAAAATGAAAAAATATTTATACGAAATACTGGCATTTACGAAGTATTTGGCATTTAAAGTGTCTCTCCTATAGACAGGCTTCAGCTAACTTGTTATTTTTTCCCCTTACCTACAGCATAGTCTGAAATTCTGCCTCTAAGTGGACCAACAAACAACAGAAAGAATAATGAGAAACACTGATACTGGCAGCAGCTCATTTCCCAGTAAATATTGATGTCCAAACCAAAAAATTCACTGAGTATTTCTGTTTTGTCCCTGTCCCTACGTTGTCACTGACAATGCTTACACATTTCTATTGATCTTGTTTATAGCTGCCTAGATTTTCACTGTCAAGACAATGTAGTGAGAACCTTAAGGAAAACCTCACTTTATATAAGACTGCATAAAGACTGCCGTATCAGTCAAAGCTTCAATTAGTCCAGAACTTGTACTGCCTCCTATAGTGGCCATTAATGGATAACAAGGGGAAATCTTAAGGAACAGAGCAGGGATGGAATGATTCTCATTTCAGTGGATGCTGCCAGTTTCAGATGATCAGCAGTTCAGGGAGTCTAAGGCACATCTAAGATCTTCATACTTAATAAACTTTGATAGTTACTGCTTACATAATACTTCTTTTATTTAAATAGCAACTGAACAAGCATTCCT